CTTTCTTATAAAAATATTAATTTATATATTCTTTCTTATTTATTATATTGAAGTTATAATTATATTCCTATATATTAGATAAATTAAACTTATTCTTTGTATAAAAATTCAAGTTTTCAAAATTAAATTGTAGAAAAGCATGATACGGAAAAAATTGACATTTGTGTAACAAATTACAGAGAAATAAAATATAGAATATACCATTCCATTGAAAGTTCTTATGTCTTCTTCGATATCACAATTTATATAAAAAAAAAATGGCACTAAAATTTTTCGATAAATTATCTCAAAATTTTTCTGAACTTCTTAATGACAAAGATGATTACAATGTAATTATTGAAGTCGAAGATAAGAAAAATTTCACTGCACACTCTAACGTACTTAAATGTCGCTCACCTTATTTTCGTAAAGAATTAGATACTATTACCCCAAATGAGAAAAATGTGAAAACAATTATTAAACCAAATATTTCATCTCAAATTTTTGATATTATTCTTAAGTAAGTTATAACTATTCAATAATTAAAAAAAAATACTATTATACTTTAACTAATGATAATATGATAATAAATATACAAAAATTATTATAATTGTTGCTATTATTTCATATAGATATATTTATGGCGGTATTGTTAATTTAGAAAATGTTGAAACAAGAATTATTTTTGACTTAATGTTAGCAGCTAATAAATTTGAACTTGAAGAATTATCCAAAAAACTAGAAATTATTCTCATTAAAGATAAAGCTTCTTGGTTAAAAACACACTTTTCTCTTGTTTATCATTCAATTTTTCTTAATAACAACTTTAAAAATTTAGAAAATTTTTGTAATGACATTGTTGCAAAATATCCTAATCTTGTTTTTGATTCTGATGATTTTACATCTCTTCAAGAATCCGCCTTGGTATCTATTCTTAAACGTGATGATATACAAATCAAAGAAGGAAAAATTTGGGAATATACTATCAAGTGGGGAATTTCTCAAAATTCTACTTTACCCACAAACCTTGAAGAATGGAATAAAGATAATTTTTTAACTTTGAAAAATATTTTACAACAATGTTTACCTCATATTCGTTATTTCCATATTCCTGGTGATGATATTTGGAATAAAGTAGAACCTTATAAAAAAATTCTTGACAAACAGCTCTGGAAAGATTTAATGCAACATTTTGTATCTCCCGACCAACCAATGAAATCAATTATATTACCAGCGAGATCAGTATTAATTCAAGAATTACCTACTCGAGTAAAAGAATCCTTTTCAACCATTATTTCTGATGAACATGCTGCAGAAATTTCCTCCTGGATTGATCATAAAATCCCTACTTATTCTTCAACAAATTATCCATATGAATTTCAACTAATTTTACGAGGAAGCAAAGATGGGTTTTCTCCACAGACTTTTTGGAACATGTGCCATGGTCACACTGGTACAGTAATTATTATAAAAGTTAAAGGAACAGACGAAATTCTAGGAGGTTATAATCCTTTAATGTGGGATAATACAAAGAATCATACCTATATGAACACAAATGATAGTTTTATTTTCACATTGAAAAATGGTAACATTCAAAATTCAATTCTTAGCAGAGTAAAAAAACCTGAATATGCACTTTTTTATTATGGAAAAAATTTTCAAAATATTTATGGACCAAATTTTGGAAAGGGTTCCATTTATTTGTATAGCATTGTATCTAATTTTACTATGGATAATGAATCTTATTGTTATAATCATGATTGTTATGAAAAACTTATTAGAACGGCAACAAACAAATTTTCAATTGTTGATTATGAAGTTTTCAAAGTCAATAGAAAAACCACTTAGGGATTTATTTTTTAAAAAATATCAATTTATATATTTATTACATTGAAATTATATTTATATTCTCATAAATTAATAAATACATAATTTATTAAATAAATGAAAAAACTTATGTATTCAAATCGTTCGATTTTGATTCTTTTGAATTAATCAAATTTTTAAATTTCAAGTTTAAATTTATTTAATAAATGCTAATTATTTTTATCAATTGTCAAATACGTATTTATATTTAAAGATAAATTTTATTTATACCATTGATAAAAAATTTTACTGGACTTTGACAAAAATGGTTAAGAAAATTTCATTGCACACTTAAATTTTCGTAAAGCATTAACATTAATAATGTCAAAAAAAATATTATACGAAATCTTTCATCTCAAATTTTTGATATTATTCAATAATTAAAAAGATACAATTATTAATTGTTACTATTTATTTTATGTGATATATTTATGGCGGTTTATAATTATTTTTGACTTAATGTTGGCGAATTTAAACTTGAAGAATTGACAAAAAAATTAGAAACTATTCTTATTATGGATAAAGCTTCTTGGTTAAAAACATACTTTTCTCTTGTACATCCATTCAATTTTTATTAACAATAACTTTAAAGATTTAGAAAATTTTTGTAATGACATCGTTGTAAAGTATCCCAATCTTATTTTTGGTGCTGAAAATTCCAAGAATCTGCTTTAATGTCTCTAGACGCGATAATATACAAATGGAAGGAATATACTATTAAAGTGGGAAATTATCGAAGAAGAAATAAAGATCATTTTTTAAATTTAGAAACTACTCTACAACAATGCCTACTTTATATTAGATATTTCCATATTTCTGGTGATGGATAAAGAAAAACCTTATATCGAATTCTAGGCAAACAACTTTGGGAAGATTTTTTTAACTCCTGACCGACCAATGAAATCAGTAATTTTACTAGCAAGATCTGTTGAATTGCCTGCCAGAATAAAAGAACCTTTTTCAACTATTATTTCTGATGAACATGCTACAGAAATTTTCTCCTGGATTGATCGTAAAATCCCTACTTATTCTTCAACAAATTATCCATATGAATTTCAGTTGATTTTGGGAGGAAGTAGAGATCACAACTTTTTGGAACATGTGCCTTGGTCACGCTGGTATAGTAGTTATTATTAAAGTTAGAGATGACGAAATTCTGGGAGGTTGTAATGTTTGTAAGGAAACAAATTATAGTTTCATTTTCTCATTGAGAAATGGTAACATTCAAAATTCAAATTCTTAGCGGAATAGCAAGATCTAAATGAACACTTTATTATTATGAAAAAGGTTCTCAAAACAAATATGGTTTAAATTTTAGAATATGTGCCCTTCGTATGAATAATTATGCATCTAATTTATTATGGATAATTGCTTGTTATAATAGTCTTTATGAAACACCTATTAGAAACAATAACTCAATTAATGATTATGAAGTAAATAAGAAATCTTTTAATTTTTTAAGAAATATATTCTTTTATATTCTTTGTTTATTATATTGAATTTTACGCATATTTTAATCCATTAAAGCTTTTTATGTTTAGATTTTACCAACCAATCAAAGTAAAATATATTCACAAGTGAAAATTTTGTATACTTTATTTATTCTTAATTTTTTAGACATAGGAAATTGAAAGAATAAAATTTCTATTCCCAAGCCAGGTTATAAATTTCATGTAAAAAATCATCCACTTCATTGACCAAAGTATGAAATTCAAGATGATAAAATGTAAAATAAATGTGAATGGACTAGAACAAAGTATATTAATATCCTTTTGTTTATTGTATTTTTTATAAATTTTTCACATATATCAAAAGTATACGTTTTTAAACTATTACCAAATGTTTTTCCAGATTCCTTACTTACCTAAAATTTGTAACTTTTTATTTCATTTTCTTTTAGAAACACCTAGATAAAAAAAAAAATAAGAAATAAAAAATAAAAAACAATGAATCTGATTATGAAAACATTTGAAAAATACATTTAATAATTCACACTTTAAATTACAACTATATATATATTTTTAAAAAAAAATAAATTTCTATTTGACATTTAATTATTAGATTCGAAATTCTGGTTAAATTATGTCCACCAGATAAATTGAATCTAAATAATTATTATAATAAAAAATAATGCCAAAAGAAATATATTTTTTTTTTAATTTATTAGGTAACCATAATTTTCATTTGTTACTTTGTATCCTTTTTTTCTTTTTTTTTTTTTTGTTTGTAGGTATAAATATAAGCTGTGTGGGGTTGAAATAATTTTTTTTTTAGATAAAAGAAAGATGTTATTTGCATAGAAAAAATCATCAGAATTTCTACAGGTTTTTTTTTAGGATAAGATAAATAAAATGTGAATCTAAAAAGAAACCTTAGAAACCTACTATACTATAATGTCCATAGTAAAAATAATAAAAAAAAAAAATTCCCTTATATCATATAACAGATAATATGTCTATATAAAAATAAAACCTGACAATAAATTGTGAAATGTCTATTTGAGATTATTATCGTTATACTAGAATATATAATAAAAGAAACCAAAAAAAGGCATAATAACACATATGATTTGGAAAAAAAAAATGTCCGAGTCCTAAAAAGGAAAAATAAACCAAAGTAAGGGATTTCAACCAAAACAGAATATTAAATACCTTGACTCGCCTACGATCCCGCCAAGAAAAAAAAAAAATAAGAAGATAAAAGACAATGAAAATAAAGAAATATGAAGACAAAATATTGGATACAAGTTAATTGCTATATACATATAACTTAAACTAAACTTATATTGTACATAAAATATGAGGTTTGACCTTAAAATTTATCGTAAAGAAGTTAACTAATAAAAACGTAAACGAAAACTAATCGAATCAGCTATAAGCTAGAGCTAGAAGTCAATTGTTGAAAAAATAATAATAATAATTAATAATAACCGATAAACTTAGGAAATTATTTCTTATTTCTAGAAAAAAAAAAATTCTAAAGATTTGTTTGCATAATTAAAAAAAAAAAAAAAAATCCATATTTCTTTTTAGGGTGAAAATGGAATATATAGAGATAAATTTTTTTTACAAATCTTTTGATTATTTTTTTTCTAATTAATGAATCTTAAATAAAAACAAAAATAGCAACAAAAGAAATAAAAATAAGTTCAATTATTAATTGGCGGTTTCATTTTTAAATGTAGGTTCGAAAAGGTTTTGTTGAGCTGTTAGCATAGCCACTTGTTGTTGTTGAGACGTCAAAAAGTTTGAGAAGTCAGAAGTGACTAGTTGATCATGCCTCATATGGGGAGTGGCTGAGGGAGTCATCATATATGCAGTAGCTCCACCAAAATTTTGAGATGGCGTAGTCATCATGAGTTGTTCAATATTATTATTCATTCCTAATTGTTGTTGTAGATCGTCTGGAGCTTGACTAACGACATTGGTATTGGTATTATTATTATTAGAAATGTTGTTATTGTTATTAACCTCTAGAGCTTGAGTTTTAATATTTTTTACTGCTGGATTATTATTTGGTGAAGTTTTGGAAACGTTACGTTGTTGTTGATATGGATGATGTCTAAGATTCTGTTGTTGTTGTTGTTGTTGTTGTTGTTGTTGTTGTTGTTGTTGTTGCTGTTGTTGTTGTTGAAGAGCAAGTTGTTGTTGTTGTTGTATTTGATAAGGAGTAGGATTTTGCGAAGAATGAGAAGAATGTGGAGCGTGTGATTGAGGATGTTGAGGAGGATTCTGTAGACGAACAGCAAGATGTTGTGCGAGATTCTGTTTTAAAACTTGATGATTATGTTGAATAGATGGTGGTTGTTTATTGGACATATTATCTTCCATACTACGAGGATCAATGTCCAATAGTTGAGAAACCTCAACGCATTTAATAAGATAAATTTTTGCATCATTCGGAATTTGATAAAGAAATACTATGGATTCGGGTCTATCCGAAGGTAAACGTTGATTATTAGTGGGAGGGTGATGATTGTTAACATCACGAGAGGTATTTGATTTGTTTACATTATTGCAATTATTATTATTATTATCATTATTAACAAGAAATTGTTGAGGCGGAGGCTGTTGCTGTGTACCGGTAGCGAAATTCACAGTGAATGGAGTTGTCATACCTAAATTGGCAGGCATATTTACAAAAGTACCATTCGAATAATTTGGATTAGGTGTTATTCTTAATTGTTGAACTGGTTTATTCGAATCAGGTGGAGGTGTCACGGAGCCTACACCATTGACGCCATTGTTATACGAGGAGGTAATAATTGGTGGCGTTTGTAAAGGGGTCATTGATAAATTTAAATAACGTTGCGGCTGTTGCTGCTGTTGTAATAATAAAGATCTTGATAATTCAATTGGAACTAAATGATTATTATTCTTGCTAATTTCCATCTAATTTTTTAAAATAAAAATTTCTTAACCGAAATTTTTTTATAAAAGATACTTAATGTAATGAAAAAAAAATAATTGAAATAATTAGCAAAGAATGGGTATAAAAAAAAATTCTAAAAGAAAAAAAAAACACCAAAGAAAAAAAAAAACAATACCTATATTTTATATATATATGCATACAATAATAAAATATAGCACTAGATTATTATACAAAATATATTTTTTATATGGTAAAAGTCAAAGGTTGTATTTATAAACAAATGAGAACATTACACATTATATTTTGTACGACTTGGCACAGCAGGAGAGACTTATAAACTGCATTAATTTTTTATTTTTATTTATTTTATTTATTTTATTTATTTATTTTTTTTTTTTATTTTTTTTTTATTATTGATATGTTGATGCAAATAAATAATAATAATTTAAAGTTTTTTTCTTGTGACGCTATATCTGTATAAACATTAAAACTGTAATTTGAATAATAATATATTTATATTTATATTTATATCTATCTTTATCTTTATATATATATATATATATATATAATGTATAGCGTGCTATTAAAGTTTTTTATTTTTCGGGTAAAGCAATTTAATTTCCGTTAAATATTTTTTTTTTTTTTTACAAGATTCACTACTACAAAGGATGACTAATAAATGCCAACTTGACATACTTGAAAAAATTAACATGTTTGTAACAAATATTAAATTAATTTTTTTTTTGTTAGTTTTCCTTTTTAAAGAATATTTGTCTTTTTAAAAATAAAGATCTCATTCATATATAGGTACACATACAGTGTGTGTGTGTGCGTGTGTGTGTGTGTGCGCGTGTGTGTGTGTACGTGTTTACAACTATCTAGTTTGTGTTTACAACCATCTAGTTTATGTTATTTTATTTTATTTTATTTTTTTGACATTTGAGACAATCGGGATAATTTATCTTTTACTTGAGGGAAAATGATGAACACTTCACACATGAACATTGTATAAGTAGATGAACGTATATTTTGATCTGAGCCGTCGTTTGATTGATTAAACAAAAACAAGATGTTTTAAATAAAGTTAAATTGGGTAACTTTACGACAACAATATTCGTTTCTATATTGTTGTTGTATTACATAAAAATCCCATTGTGTATAATAACAAGTTTTCAACTCTTTTTGTTTTTTATTTTTTTTACTGGTATATTTATTTTTTTTTTTTTATAAAAAAAAAATAGTTACACGGCACGGATTTCCTTAATTCTAACTATAAAAATGATGTGTAATGAAAAAATTAATAAAATAACAAAAAATAAATAATAATATTGGTCATTGTAATCTGTAAATCTCACGGAGGAGATAACGCCATATATCACCATGTAGATTTCAAGGGTTATCCTTGGGTATGTGATCGTAAAGAATCAGATGGGCTAAAATACATAAACAATTCAAGGAAAATGAGATAATGAATTCTCAAAAGGAAGAAACTAAATTGGTAAGTAATTTCTTTGTCATGTATAACTGCAGTATAGATATTGCAGTATGAAGAAGATGCAGTCATAAAAAGAAGATGCAGAATAAGAAGGTTCAGAATAAAGAAGGTGCAATATAGAAGACTTCCAGAGTTCTAAATCATCTTCTGTTTTGTCCATCAAAATAATTTTCTTGTAAATTCTGAATATTATTGAAAACCGTTTATGAATCTTATGATTACTTACTTTCAATATTGAATACATTTCTAATGAAAATTATTCATTACTAAAATTTTAATAATTTGACAACATTATCTTGGAAAAATAAAATATGAATAAATGAAACAGATAGGACAAATGTTTAATTAATCAACAAAACAAATAAATAAATAAAAAAAAAAAAATGGAAGCTACCAAAAATAATCATTAAAAAAAAGGAATTTATAGAAAGATGTTTTATGCTAGTGCACAAATTAATAAAATTGAACCCTTGTGCTGCTTTTATATGTTTTATGTGTTTTTATAAATGTTTAGTAAATAATACAATAGTGAGACGACAATAATAATAATAATAGACAATAAATAAATAATAATAAGACAATGGTGTAACTTCCAAGAGCACTCTTATAACCATTTAACAAAACAAGGGTAAAAATGCATAATATTATTAATCACATATAAACTAACTAAATTATTTAAAACACTTGAAACATATAGAATTTACAGGAAAGTGATAATCTGCATTTGTATCATTTGCAGCCAAAATTGATCGAATGCATTAAACTTTAATAAATAAATATGTGTTGTTTTCAATTTTTAATGTTAATTATTATATATTAATTTATTTATTTTATTTATTATCATTTATTTATTTTCATTTATTTATAAAAATAAAATTCAAATTTCTAATTCTGATTACTTCTGATTATTCCTGATTGTTTCTGATCGATTACTGTGATATTTTGGAAAATATTCTTTAAATGAGTTCATTAATAATCAAAAATATAAAAATAATATTATTAAAAATTAATAAAAATAATTTAACGTTTTTTTAATTTTAATAATATGTATATTTCAGACATCGGATGTTTTTAAAGCCACGTTGTTATTGTGTTTTGTGTTTATTACTTATATCACCGTACTTTATTGTACAGAGGAGACCTCACCAGTCGCATTTACCGTACTTTATTGTACTTATTGTACTTATTGTACTTATTGTGCTTATTGTGCTTATTGTGCTTTTGTGCTTATTGTGCTTATTATGTACTAAGAATATTCATCAATAATTATAAAATCGGAAAATTTTTTTAAAATGTGATCGCGTCATGTCACATTTTATATGTATGACAAGTTTTTTTAGGCAATGTGATTTGAGCTTTTTCTCATTTTTGGATATTTTAATATTTGAGCATAAAGAAATTTATTAAAGAACTATTTAATAAATAATTGATATTTTTACAATATTATAATAATAATTTTAATTAATTTTTATAAATTTATTGCGAATAATAATAAAAAATTTATTCTCCATATATGCATTCATGCATTAATATAATAGATAATATAGGATAGGAAATAAAAAAAACAAACAAACAATGTATGGCGAAATTAATTACTATTATTATTATTATTATTTATTTTGTTATTAACTTTTTTATTATTTATTATTATATATTCTATTATTTATTCTTATTATTTTATTCTATTATTTTATTATTTTATTATTTATTATATTTATTATTCGCGTATAAAGGCTAAAATTATTTATTTTTTTTGGATTTTAGATCGTACCCTGTGTATTTTTTATACATTTTAAAAACATAAAACTAATAAATAATTAATAATAAATAATAAATACCTAATAAATAACTAATCACAAATAATAAATAATAATACAATATGGAAATACAAGAAACACAAGAAATACAATACAGAGTACAGTGAATACAAAAAAAAAAAAAATACAGATAATAATATGCATCATGCACTCCACTACTCCAGTTTTTTTTTTTTTTTTTACTACTTTATCTTTTCTACTCTCCTATTACACAAAATTGTAAATTAAAGGCGTGGACATGAATTCTTCTTCTTATTATTATTACTACCATTATTTGACAATAATATTCTTTGATGATTTGTAATTATTCTTTGATATGTAGTGCAATAGCCGCATAACTTATATAATACGATAACCTTAATATAGCGTAATTTCCTTTTGTATAATAGTATAAGATCTCGGATCAAAAAAAATTGAGGTGCATATCTAATCCACTCGGTAAAACGTTTCACACATTATTTAAACAAATCTTAGATAGGAAGTCCCCTGGGATTCTATAATAATATAATATATGAGAGATGGTATTATACACGAAACGGCATTCACCTTTATATATATATATATATATATAAATTGAAAGTTGATTCTATTGTTTTGTCTTTTTTTATTTCTAGAAGGAATTGTTTGTACGGAAAATCTTCATGTATGGAAATAACTGAAAGTATGCTAATTTATTTGTGGGGTAAAAAGTAGTAATGGCTTGTATCGCTGATTATTGACAAATATTATTAAATATATTGTTAACCATTTTTTATTAAAGATTTTTTTTTAAATATAGTAAATATTGACCATTTTCGCTACAAAGCGTTGACGCAATTATATTTATAACATAATACAAGAATTTTAATATTAGCGTTCTATTGTTCTCAACAACATTTTAAATCTGATAAAAAAAAAAAATTAATATTGATCACACAATATTTGTAATATTTTTACGGGAAATCAAAAAAAAAAAAACGCCATGTCAGCTTTAATATTTTTTTAAAATTTAGCTAAATGACGTATCACAAATTTACAATTTTAACTATTTACACACACGTGATATTATTGTAGACATTTTGTCTCGACCTTTCTCAACGGTTTTTTAAATTAATTGAAAACGTTATCCGCAGTAAACAAAGCACTTTAATTAGATTATGTAATATAAAGTTGGGAAACAAGAATTGTTTTTAGATTTTAAGGGATTCTTTAACCTTTTTTATTTGATTAGTAAGAACTTAAAGGAGTTCATATGATATGTTCACATGTTAAAATGAACGTACTTTTTATCACATTACACATCCGAATTGTCCGAATTGTCAGAATTTGACATTATCTTGTCAACAAACTTGTTGGTTTTGAATTTTGGTAGTTTTTAATTTACTCCTTACTATCACTTTTTAATGTATCAATTTTAATTAGTAATTTTTTATTATTAGAAAAAAATAATTTATAAATAAAATATGTTTATATAATGTATTCTAAAATTAGTCAATTTTATTATTATTTTTTTTTCTAATTCTAATAAAATATCTTAAAACTACAAGATATTCAATATACATTGCATATATATATATAATAATTGATTTAAGAAGATATTAAATGTACGCAGAAATAGAAAGATTTTTCATCTACTTTTATTATTTTTAACACACATATTTCTTTGTAATAGCTGATAGAAAATTATAGATTTTTTCTATAGTATCTAAAATAATGTTTTTTTAAATAA